AGTAAGTGTCAAATGTCTGAGGTGGGATTTGAACTCAGGTCCTCCTGACTTCAGGGCCGGTGCTCTATCCCTGCTCCACCTAGCTGCCCCTGCTTTTTTTTTTCTTAATCTCATTTTGCCCTCCTTATTTCGTTCTTTCCCTTTTCTGTTTCTTCATTGGCTTTTTTTCTTTTTCCCTTTTTTGTATTTTCTTTTTTGTTGTTTTCTCTATTTTTTCTTCTCTTTATTTCTCTCACTAGCTCTGTCTCTCTGCACCCGTCTCTCCCCTCCCCCACTGTTCTCTGTCTTCTCCACTCCCATCCCTAGCCCCACCCCCACCTCCCCATACATATACTCATTCTCTCCCTTTCCCAGTTCAGGTCATTCTCTTTCTGATTAGATGAATTTCTTTTACTTCAGGTCTTGGAGAAGTCCATCATTTCACTCTTCTTAAAAACTTGGCAGGGTTCCCCTTTGTGCGTAATAGAAGATGTTCCTCCTGCTCTGGGAAAGAGATCTGGGGACCCTCCTTCCCTCTGGAGAGTGGGAAACCCAACCTATTAAGTCCTGCAATGGCCCGAAGCCCGAGCTTAATTTTTCCAGGGCGGAGCTCCGCAGGAAGAGCCAAGGGTACCTCCAGGGGCCGGACTTTCTTTTTATTCTTTGGGAAATTGATTCTCTCTTCTAGATCCAACACAGTCCTCAGTGCACAGCACCAAAGATGAAGTTTGTCCCCTGCAACCCCCGTCTCCTCCCAACACCTCGTCAAATTCCCGATCTGAGAATGAGCTGCAGGCGCCAGAGCTGGACCTAGGGCCCGAAGGCCCAGAGTCCCTCCCCCTCCACCCCTCCCCGCTCCCCCGCCCAAGCTGAGGATGAGCGCTACCCCTGCCTCATCGCTCCTTCCCCTCAGCCAGCCCGGAGACAGGGACTTACTCAACGTTTCCTTTTTTTTTTTTTTAAATAGGATTCCTGGAAGAAAGGACCTAGAATAGTAAGTAAGGAGACTTTGGAGTGGAGTTTAGGTTGCCTTCTTCCAGTCCCTTTCCGGGGGTGGGGGGGAGAGAGAGAGAGAGAGAGAGAGAGAGAGAGAGAGAGAGAGAGAGAGAGAGAGAGAGAGAGAGAGAGAACAAACCTCCCTCCTCCACCCCCCACCCTCCTTATGCCCAGAGAGGATCTGCCTGATGATCGATTACATTGGGTGTTCAGGAATGCTCAACACGTCTTTGTTGCCTCGGAGGTACCTGGGCTGCTGACTCTTTTCGCCCTCCCCCACCTTGTTGTCTCCTCTGACTTTGCAGATTGTGCCTCTATGAGCACTTCCTTTGCTCCATAGTCCGGCCTAGTCTGAAACATCCGTAAGGGTCCAACGCAAGAAAGGGTCCCCATTCTGGCAAGGGAAAACTAAGCTGTCTGAGCAGTCAGTCCTAAAATCTTGCAGTTTCAGAGCTGGAAGGGACTCCAAGCCTCCTACATTGAGACAGAAATCTACAGCACTCTGGACAAAGGGCCATGGAGCCTGTTTGAACATGATATGAGCTGGAGAAAACAAGGTCAAGTGGAGTGCAGACAGGGACAATCTGATATATGTGTGTGTATGTATATATATATATATATATACACATATATGTGTGTGTGTGTGTATGTATATATATATATACATATATATGTGTGTATATATATATATATATATATATATATATGGAAGAGAGGAGGCAGGAATCAGAATTATCCAAGGACAGCCGTAGGTTCTTAGATGTGGAAGGAAACTTAAGAGATGGACTCATCCAACCTCCTACTTAATGAAGGAATTCTCTCTAAACATCCTTACCCGGGTAGTCCATCCCTTTCTGGAACGTCTCCGGGGACAGGGAGCTCACTACCGGACAAGACAATCCATTCCAATTTGGGGCATCTCCAAACTGTTAGGAAATTCTTCTCCTTAAAATGAACCTATCTCCTCCTCCCTGTAATTTCCCCCATTGGGTCCCAGTTGTCCTCTGAGGAGACTCAGATTAAATCTAATTGCTTGTCCATTTGACAGTCTTTCACTCATCTGAAGACTGCGATCATTGAATACGAAAACTTCAGAGCTGAAAGGAACCCTAGAGGTTATGTAGATCCAAGAATCCAGAAGACCTGGGTTCAAATCCTACCTCCCACATGTGCTGGCTGTGTGACTGTGGGCAAAGCACTTAACCTCTTTTCAACCTCAGTTTCCACATCGGTCAAATGTACCTCAGTAAAGTTGTGAGAATCAGATGAAGAAATGTGTATAAAGTGCTTTGCAAACCTGGAAGCTTTATAGTGGTGCAATTCCAGATCATTCGTTTAGAGTTTGGACATTTCTTCTTTTTGCAAAGCATCACTTACTCATCATTTATGGTTGGCTGTGGCTGCTAAGAGGTTAAGTGCAGTCACTCAGGCATCTGAACATGGGCTTGAACTCAGGTGTCCCGGCTCCTTGGTAGGCCCTTTATTCATTAACCCACACTGCCACCAGTGCTAGTTAACTCCTTACTGCAGCTTCCTTTTCCTCCTCCCCTCCCCCTTTTTCTCCTCTGTCCTCTTCTGTTCTCCTTTCCTCCTCCCCTCCTCCTTTTCTTTTTCCCTTTCTCTCTTTTCCACCTCCTCCATCCTCCTCTTCCTTTTCTCTTCCTCCTCTTCCTCTATGCATGATGATGGCCTGGTATTGCTTAGATGAATTTGGGGCAGAGCCTGAAACAGGTCTCTTGACTTCCTTGTTTCCATGTTTCTGATAGGATGCAAAAATAAACAGATCTAGAGGAATGGAATATATAGTTTCTTTATAGATTCACCATTGTTTGGACATACTCTTGTATACAGAGCATCCTTTAAATATGGCTAAAAATGCACATCCTGTGGGGTTAGATGCCATCTTTGCCAAGGAGCAGTGTTGAAGTCCATTCCACATTCCCTGTGCAGCATTTATGCGTGCAGTTATATCTTTTGTAAACTACATAAAGAATTCATACATATTTTAATATGCAGGCTTACTATATCCCTGTGGCTGCACAGAATGGCTTTGATAATTTATAATGTTACCAGTATTATCTTTACATAGTTATAACACTTTAAGGGGTCTTAAGGCTGCCTTTAACTCCTGAGTCCTAATGTGCTTAAGATTCTGGATGTCAAGTAAGGAACAAGGATTAGAATCAGTCTCAGAACAGTTTCCTTTGGAAAGGTACCTGCCCTTTCCTGCTTTGGGCATTTGATTGGCATTTGGCTAGGAAGCAGAGTCACATCTATATTCCTTATGTGTGAATGGATCTTGTGTGCATCAGCAGCTTCTTCCAGGAGGCCAGTTCTCTGCTTTAAGGGATTTAAGGAGCCCTCGGGACTGGAGAGGCAAGGGTGATCTCCTGTCCAGGCTGAGAGGGTGTGACTAACAGTAACAATATCCAAAAAATGCAAAAATGGGTTTAGAGAGGGAAAGCCTGACTTCACAATGAGAGACAGAAGTGGGGACAGATTAGAATCTCCTCAGAAGGAAAACTAGAGGGAAAAGCAGAAAAAAAGACAATGAGAAAGAGAATGAGAGACTGAAACCCACCTCTATCCCATTCCCTCCAAGAATGAACACACTCCTTAGTCACAGATAAGTGATATGGGGTCTCCTACACCAACACCAACCCAGATAGAGGATCCCCCAATAATTGTGAGCGGCTGGGGCAGGGGTGGGAAGGTAGGGAATGATGAGGTTCTCCTGGCTTCTGGATCCTCTGGCATCATCTTGGGGTAGACTCCCACTTCAAGTCTTGTGAGTAGAGAGTTGTGCTATAGGAGTAGAAAAGGTGAAGGAAGGGTCATTCGGGGATGCTCCACACCTAACTACACGAAGACTGACGGTACCAAAGGAAGCATGAGTTCTCTTCAGATCTGGTTCGAAAAATAGCTCTGTCCTGCCCGTTTTGTTCTTTAGAAATAAACTTCTACTCCGGTTTTAATAGTTTTGGTGGGCCTTCTCTTCTTTGATGTTGTCGTTGATTTGTTTTAAATTAAGAACGGGGTTCAGCTCTCGGATTGGGGGGTAAGGTAAGACACTTCTGTGTCTCGATGGAAGTCTGGGGCTGTGCTGGAGTTCAGTTGGGCCTGGGATTCTGGCGGTGTGCGTTTGGTTGGGTTGGTGATTGACGGGGCTGGGGCGAAGTGCTCCCTCCATCCCAGTCCTCTATATCATGCGGACACTTCTAGTGTTCGTTAATGCAGTCTTTGTGGCAGTGCACTTAGGGGTTAGAGCCCAGGTCTCGGGAAATGGTCTAAAGATGCTCAGTTCCTGGGTTCTAGCGGGGGAGTACTTCAGGGAGGGGACGGCGGGAAGAAAAAATGTTTCTGAGCTTCTGATCTGTTCCTCTTCTTTAGCCCACCGGGGTGGAGAGGGGAAGCCTGGGGAACTGCTCCAGAAGAAAGGCCCCTAGCGCTTAGCCGAGCCTCTGCAGGTAGTAGGCGCTTTAAAATGCTTTGGGTGGAAAGAATTGATTCTGTCTTTATCACTTAGCACAGTGACTGGTACATAGTAGGAGATTAACAGATGAATGCTGAATGATTTGTTCATTCATTCTTTCGCACAACCAATGAAGAAGCCAGTGCGGGTGTTATTATGCCCATTTTACAGACTAGGCAACTGAAGTCCAGAGGCTCAAAGGGTCTTGTCCATGGTCAAATTACAAGTAGTAACACTTGTACTTCAGTCTTCTGCCGTCTAGCCCACGAGCCCTTCCGTAGGCTGAGGCCAAAAGAAAAAAGAAAGTTCGTTTTAAGAGTAACACTTCAGACATTGTCCTGTCCAGGAAGGAGAGAAACTCATGGAGTAGCCCGCGTTGCAGCTCGCAGATCTACCCGGGAGCTTGAGCTCAGAGAAACGGGACGGGCCTGGAGGGGGTGGGGCGGGGAGGGGACTGCCTAGTCTTGGAGGTGTGTCGGTCCTCTTTTTCTCCACCTCCCCCCTCTGTGGCAGGTCGGAGCAGCTCTCCACGGGCCCTGGCCCTTAGGGAGGGAGTATAGTTAGCCGGAATGGAAGGAGGAGCCGCTGCACCTTTAAGTGTCATTGGAGGAAGCGACAGCCCGGGAGCTGATATATAGAAGACAGGCCGGCCGCTGCAGGCGAGTGTGGGGCGCCCCCGACCTGACCCGTGTGAGCCATCCTGTGAGTTGGGCTGCTGGCGCCGGAGGGTCAGAGCCAAGCCGACCCTAACCAAGGAGGTCAAGGCCAAGCGAGCAGTCTGGGCGACCATGGCCACGCTGTTGGGCGCCTACCCCTGGCCGGACGGGCTGGAATGCCCGGCTTTGGACGGGGAGCTCTCCGACGGGCTGGCGTCGCCCGCAGCCCATCGTACCCCGGGGGATAAGGGCGCGGAGAGTCGCATCCGCCGGCCCATGAACGCCTTCATGGTTTGGGCCAAGGACGAGAGGAAGCGGCTGGCCGTGCAAAACCCCGACCTACACAACGCGGAGCTCAGCAAGATGCTGGGTAAGAACAGGGGTGAACCCGCCAGATTCCCTTCCCAAGTACTGCCTTGTGCTGCGTACGCACGCGCGCGCGTGTTTGTGTGTGTGTGTGTGTGTGTGTGTGTGTGTGTGTGTGTGTGTGAGAGAGAGAGAGAGAGAGAGAGAGAGAGAGAGAGAGAGAGAGAGAGAGAGAGAGAGAGAGAGAGAGAGGAACTGAGAAACTGAGATTACAGTAGGATATGTAGATGGGAGTACTGGGCGGCAGAGGTGGCGGGAGATGGAGAGATCTTTATAGTAACGTGGGCATGGGGGAGGTAGGGTCTCTGTGTTAAAGCTGGCAAAAGTCACTCCTCCGTGTGTATGTGTGTGTTTATGGGTCCTAAGAGTCTGCATATTTTGGAAATAGTTATTGTATCTGTATGTTTTGGGGTCCTGGAAAAATATGCGGGGGGGAGGGACAAATACAATTATTGTGTGAATGTTTAAAATGAAATACAGTGAACTTACGGATCCACGATAAGAATAGAGGCATTTGAAAGCGAAGCTGGTGTTTTCTGGGAGATGGAGGTAGGGGTTGGGGAGGGTCGAGGTACAAGAAATTGGGGGGGGGGGACTAACTGGAGGAAGAAGGGACTGACCCAGGTGAGGGGAAGAGAGCCCCCCACATAGCTTAGTCACAACTTCAGGAACTAAATAATACGACTTCTGGGACTGAATAAAACTGCAGGCACTCATAGTCAACAAGCATTTGTTAAACGCTTACTATATGCCAGCTACTGTGTCTTAACACTTTCCTCTAAGGAGGAAAAGAAAAAAAAATCCTTACCTCGAAGTGAGGGAGCAACGCGAACAACTGTGCATGCAAGACTGGCCTGAGAGTCGAGGAACTCCAGAACCCAGGAGCTTTAGGCTCTCTGAGTCCCTGGCACTCACCTCCCAGCCGTAGGGCTGTGGAGGGCGGGATGGTACTTGGTGCTAATTAACAAAAGCATCCACAAATTAGCCCTCTAAGCGGGCAACGCATCCAGTCAGGAGTGTGGGGCGGCTATTGTTTCTGGCAAAGTCTGCCGGACGACTCCGAGCAGAGTTAGAAACTGAAGCCGCTTTATTGATACGAACTCACCAGGAAGGACGGAAAAAGCTTGTAACCGAAACACGGAGGGAATGGATCGCTGTCAATCTAGATGACTAATAGGCACACAAGAGCCGGAAAGTAATTATTCCTTACACATTATTTGAAGTATTGTTACAGTTTGAATAATAACAAACATTATTAGCAACGGAGTAACACCTGGGGGTAAGCATTTGTTATAGATTACTGATCACACAAAACATTTGTAGAGCAGGAAAGGAAATACGGACAATCTGGCAAGATTCGTTACCCGAATGTGTAGATTAGAGTAGGGGTGTGGACCCCGACTCGCAGATTGAGTCGAATTCTCTCGAGCCGTTCTGGTCTCTCCAGTGGTCCGAGGGTCAGGGCACAGTCCGGCTGGAGGCCGTTAGGAAGGACGCAGGGAAAGCACTCTCGGGCTGTTGCGGGACTTTAAGATTATGAAAAGGATTCGGGAGGGTGTGGGCTGGAGGGAACCTTGGATGCTGGGACTTTGCCATGGAGAGTCCGAAGAAGGCTCGGACTTTTTAAAGGTGTCTGCGTGAAGGGAAGGTGAGGTACAGGGGGGAAAGAGGCTGTTGTTTTGATCTCCCCACTCGAAGATAAAAGGCTGCATTTCTTTAGACCAAAAGTTCTAGACCTTTTTGTATGTGTGTGTATCGGTCATCACTTTAGCAGTACGGCGAAGCCTATGGACCCTTCTCAGAAATATGTTTAAATCCCTAAAATAAAATACGTAGGATTACAAAGGAAACCAATGATACTGAGATATAGTTATCAAAATATTTAAAAACAAGAAGATCCCGACACCAGGTTAAGAACTCCTGTTTCAATCTTTAATGTAAAGGTGGGGTTTTGTTTTCTTTTGTTTTTCTTTCTTTTTTATATTAAAAAAAATGAGGACTTTCTCTCTTTTATGCACTGTAATCAAATACTTCTGCTTCTGGAGAAGGCGAATCTCCTTCCTTTTACCATCCTTCATTTTAAGGCCTATTTCATTCAAATCGAAGACTAGGGAGTTCTTTCAATTCAGTATGCATATTCTATGATTCCCTGCTTCTAATTTTTGAACCGAGGACTTTGTAAAATTGGAGTTTTATTTCAGTGGTTAAAATGGAAAGGCGTCAGATCTCTTTCCAATACTGACCTGGACTTTGTGGACAGGGCAGCTTCCTTCTTCCCTCTGAGTTTTGACCATTTCATATGCTAGAAATTTGTGAACAACCTAATCTTTGCTGGCTAAATCCAACTGAGTCCCACTTCTGAATTTTAGAAGAAGGCAGGACAAATCAGTTCTAGCTCAGAGGTGCTAATTGAACCATGACCCACCTGCTAGCTCCAGAGACTCTGGGCTTTCGGTCATCCATTACTGCTTCCAAGCAACTTGGAGAAAAATGACAGAGCCTGGAACATAATGAAGTCCCCTGCATGAGTTCAACCTATGACTTAAAATGACTGGATCAAATCTAGAAGGGTCCTTAGGAAAACCTCAGGCAAAAACCACTTCTCATTTCTTTAGTATTTTCCTGATAAGGTCCAGTACCCTGTGCCTACAATTCATTTTATCAATTCAACAAACATTTATTAAGTGCAAAGCACAGTGCTTAGGTTGGCATAGGATGGCTGAAAAAATGCCCTGGTCTGGCTGACATCCTGTATTTGCCACTACCCTTAAGGGGACCCTAAGAAGATAAAAGTTCTTTTAACAGTTTGGATGAAAAATACATCTTCAGTAAGTACTCTTTTAATGGCAGAATTCACAGAGTTTTGAACTAAAGCAGTACTATCTAGTAGAGTAGAATACTATTTTAGCAGTGGAATTTTAGAACATATTTTTTGGCAAGGCAATCCCGGCTAAGTGATTTGCCCGGGGTTACACAGCTAGTAAGTGTCAGATGTCTGAGGCCATATTTGAACTCAGGTCCTCCAGACCCCAGGGCTGGTGTTCTATCCACTCTACCACCTAGCCACTCCTAAACCCTCCATGTTTTGCAGTTGAAGAAACTGAGTCTCAGAGAGATCAAATACCCTCGCCTACATCATAGACCTAGTTAGAGGCAGAGCTCCAGCAGAAAGCTAGATGTCCAGATTTCTCATCTCCTAGTCCAGGGCTCTTTCCACCACACCAGTGCTGTTATCTCCATACAGCACTTCCTCCTTGTTATTAAGTAGGACAGTAAATCTGTATTTTAGTAATTATATTTACAGTGAGAAGCAGTGTCACATAGAGCAGTGGGGTCTACTCAAATAGAAATGGGGACCATTAATCTGTACATAAGGATCCCTGTGCAGCACATATTGACTTAGTTTTAAAATGTAACAATATCTATATTTTATTTTATTGTATTTTCATTTACTTTGTTAAATAGTCCCCCATTGCATTTTAATCTGCTTTGGATCATACTTGGGAGTATTGTGGGGGCCATGTTTTTGACACCTATGGAGTAGAAGATAGAAAGCTGGCATCAGAGTTGGGAAGACTTGTATTCAAGACCTGCTCACTTTGCTAGGACAAATCACAACCTCTCAGGGTCACAGGCAACTCTCTGCGGCTGTGAATAGCAGAAGGTGTTGGTCTTCATTGGTAGAGGGTGTTTCCTCACTGGGAGACAGTGGAGGCAAGGTCCCCACCCCGGCACCATGAACAGAGTTCTAGATCATTATTTATAATATGCATGCCTTTGCCCAGTGCTCAGGCTCTCAGGAACTGAACTATTGAAGGGAAAGACTTGATTTTCTGAGCTATTTACTCAGTGAGCAAATTCTCTGAAAGGTAGAGAGGGACTTGCTGAAGCCTGGAAGGTGGGGTTCTTCTTATTAGACTATGAGTCCCTTGAGAGCAGAGGCTATCTTTTGCCATTCTTACACAAAGAAATCCCAGCATTTAGCACAGTGCCTGACACATAGCAGGATCTTAATAAATGTTTATTGACTAACTTTGCAGGATAAGCATTTCCTTGGTTGTGTTACTACTAAGACTTTTTTCCTGGTCGCTCTGCCTGCCAATGTCAATACCTAACCTGTTTCCTTGCTAAACTGTCCATCAACTGTATGATCTCCATGAAGCAAGTCGCTTAATTTTTCTGGAACTTGGTCTCATCCATAAAATTGGGAGATTAGACCAGATGATTGGACTGGGTGGGGTCAGGTTAATCAGGGAAGCATTCTTGCAAGAAGTATATTTTTGAACTGGATGTTACTTCAGTAGCTTGATTTTATGACAAGGGAAGTGAACCCAGGGAGATGAAACAACTGCTTCTGAAGCCAAATATCTAGTTACTTGTGGAGTTAGATTATGGAATTAATTTGTCCTCAATCTAGCTCCCATAAGCCCATGAATTAAAGGCAGTCTTGATGATTGGAATACAGGTTGCAGTCTTCATCTAGGTCTAGACAGAGTCTAATCTCCTGTTAGGGAAGAGTGACTAGCATATTCGTGGACTAGAATCCTGTTTACCTTTCAACTGTGAAGGACAATCATTTATTACATTCAAGATGACATTTTGATAGGCATAATTGGGAAGAAGTGCCCACCTTAATGAGATTTCCGGATCCACTAATATCCTGAAGAAAGATCCTCTAACTCAAGTACAATTCTATGCCTTGACTGATTCAATCTTAATTCCTGCCTGTAAAATGTCTGAAATTTCCTACTTGTAAAATGCCTGATATTTACACATTTTTGTGGAAATCTAAGGACACAATAGCTGATGTTTAGTCATGAAGGCAGGAGGTAACTCTCATTTAAATTCTCAAGTGATTAGAGTTGACACTTGAATGTAAGCAGGGCCTTAATTAAATGCATTTTAAAAATAATTTTAGCTACAGAAAGTTCAGCTGGTCTTTTAGCAATGAAACAGGATATTACCTTTACCAGGGATGGGGAACCTGTGGCCTCGAGGCTGTGTGTGACCCTCTAGGTCCTCAAGTGCAGCCCTTTGACTGACAGGTTCCCCACACCTGATATACCTTTGTGTATGAGATGATGTGTGAGTAGTGTGCGTGCGTGTTCATGATTTTCATGTGGAGTGTTTGTGGGAGGAAAAATATGAAAGGTTAGGATTCTGTAGGTGTGTATGAAGAATTTGTGCTGGGAAGTGTGCGTGGGGCATCTGGGAAGGGCATGTGAAGTGCCTTGTTTGTGTTTCTCAGTTGTGTGAGAGTGGTGTGATTGAGCTCTGGGTGGTGCATGCAGTGCTGGGTCTGTGGGAGTTGTCTGGTGCAAACTGTGTGGGAGAGGGCTGTTCAAAGACCTGACCTCTCACACTGTGAAGGACCCTAAAAGTGGCCTTTTCTACCCCTCCCTCCCCCCGAGCAGGAAAGTCCTGGAAAGCTCTGACCCTCTCCCAGAAGAGGCCATATGTAGATGAAGCTGAGAGGCTCCGGGTACAACATATGCAGGATTATCCCAACTACAAGTATCGCCCCCGTAGAAAGAAACAGCTCAAGCGCATCTGCAAACGGGTGGACCCAGGTTTCCTGCTGAGCAGCCTGTCTCGGGACCAAAACTCCCTCCCAGACAAGAGGTGTGGCAGCAGGGTTTCTGTGGGGGAGAAGGAAGAACATGGTGAGTACTCCCCGGCTACAGCCCTTCCCAACCTCCGGGGCTGCTACCAGGAGGTGCCCACCGGCAGCTGCACCAGCGGTAGCAGCTCCACTAGCAGTGTGGATGCCTACCCATATGGGTTGCCCACCCCACCAGAAATGTCTCCTTTGGATGTCCTGGAGCCTGAGCAGACCTTCTTCTCTTCCCCCTGCCAGGAAGAGCACTCTCATTCCCACCGTCTCCCACACATCCCAGGAGCTACGTACTCTCCAGAATATATGTCCAGCCCCCTCCACTGCAATCACCCATTGAGTTCCATCGCCCTCCCCCAGTCCCCGGGCGTCTCCATGATCCCCTCGGTAACCAGCTGCTCCCCTTCCCCAGCATACTACTCTCCCCCTGCCTTCCATGCTCTGCACCCCAACCTCCATGCCCATCTGGGCCAGCTCTCCCCTCCCCCCGAGCACCCAGGTTTTGATGCTCTAGACCAACTGAGCCAGGTGGAACTCTTGGGGGACATGGACCGCAATGAATTTGACCAGTATTTGAACACTCCCAGCCATCCAGACTCCACAGCGGGCATCACTATCAATGGACATGCCCCAGCCTCTCAGGTGACACCAGGGGGACCCACAGAGACCAGCCTCATCTCAGTCCTGGCTGATGCCACGGCAACCTACTACAATAGCTATAGTGTCTCCTAGGCCGGTGTGCACAAGGCAGTTCCTGACCTTCTCCTTTGTGTGGACTGAACCGAGCGGAGAGACTAAACAGTATTACCAACAGCTTCCCTTGATGCAACGCCTCTGAGCCTTCCCTCAGAATGTGTCCGGGTCAAAGCTGATGGATTGGAATCTACTTCGTCCTGTAGATAAATGTTCTTTTGCCGATCCACTTTGCCTTCTTGACAACTAGTTCCACTTTCCTTCAGCCTCCTCTCTGAGAATCTTGCTTCTTAATTCTCTCTACTACATGAACATGTCAATGTAAGTCTCCTACAGATGCTATTTAAGACTGAAATTTTCTCTGACTTTCCTCTTTTCTTCCCATCATATGAAATATAACAGCTCCACTCCATCTTTAGGAACTCTCCCACTGTACTCTTTTTCCTGCCTCAGACACAGGCTTGCAGAAGATCAGCACAAAAAGCATTGATTGCCAGGTCAGCATAGTGTAAAGAGCTGTGGACAGGGAATCAGGAAAACTGATGTCCAGTAACAGCTCTGCTAACAGACAAGCTACCTTCAAGATAGCATTAAGCGGCTCTAGGCCTCAGTTTCTTCCTCTGTCAAATGAGATCATTAGTCAAGGTGATCCCCCAAGGTTCCCTCCAGCCACTTAGAAAACAAAAATGAATTATGCTTTCAACAGTGCTCTCTGCATTCTGCTAGCTTTATTTTTTAAGTTTCTGCTTTAAAAAAAAAATCTGTCAAAGAAGCCAAATTAAATCAACAACCATAACTACATGATTTGGGAAATTGTTGGTTGAAGGTTTATGGAAAATAAGAATACAAAGGTGAAAGGAAGATCAGAAAACTAAAGGTAGTTTTACATATTTCTGGATGGGTCTATGGAAATAAAAAATCCATGAAAACAAACATAATCACGTGTATATCTGAGGATAATACTTGGACTGTCTTATATACCTAGGTACACATATGTATGGGACTGTTTTGTAATACCTTCACCAAAACCCCAAGTCTGCCACCACTGGAAGGGTCATGAAGCAAGTTAGGACCAAACAAACTGACTTTCTTCCAATGTCGGGATTGATGGGGATCCATGTGCCATATTTTTTATAGTCCTTTCTGTATCGGAAGGTTCCTCTCTCTTGTCTCTTATCTCTGTCTCTGTCATGCTTACTTTCTCCTTCTCTCCATGCCTCCTTCCTTCCTTTTGCCTCCCAAGGAAATATAGACACCCACTTTAGAAGATTTTATGAGCCCTGGTGCCATCCTACAGACATTTCCAGCCTTCTCCAAAGCCTCCTTTGAAGGAAAATATTCAACACTAAGCAACAAGACCACTGTTTGTCTTTCACCTTCAGTGTATTATTGCTTATCAGGAAACTGTAAATTGATTATATATATATCTTCCTCAATTTCCCCTTGTATTTTGTATTGTTAAAGTTTCTTCTTTTTCTTCCATGAAAAGTTTTATTGTAAATCAATTATAAAACATGATTAATCTTCATGTTATTACTGCATATGAAATTTGATAATAAATAATAAGTAGTTGTAGCTACGATTGACTGATGTGCAATCTTGAATGTGTATTAATTATCTTTTTAAACACTACAGTTATTAAGCTAAAATGTTCCATCTTTTATAAGAGCGAAGTTTGCTTTGGAACAGCTATGTAGATATGTTTGTTTGAAATATTTAATTTAAATAAACACTTTTTTTTACCGTGATGATTTTACCATTTGAATTATAATTTTGCCCCCCAAAATGCAAAAAAAAAAAAGGTTTTCATGAGAGAAACATTTATTGTGTTTATCGTGTGCAACTTTTGTATGTATTATTAGTCAAAATCTTTTCTACGTCAACTTTTTTTAAAATAAAATATTTGTGGCTATATTTACAACTGCTGTGGTATTTTATAAAGCCAGGTAAAACTATAAATCCCAACACATTCTCCTGAAAAGAATGGTATTAGCATAGGTCTGAAATATAGGGATATTAAGTAGCACATGAGAAGAAACTCATTCCTATAAGGTCTACAGAAGAGTTTGCACATTGAAAGTGAATCGAGGCTATTATATATATATTTCAAACTAAAAAAGGTCATCTTTACCGAAAATATCAGCCAACACTATTATTTTAGATTGGAAAATCATCTCATCTGCCAGATTCAGTGTGTGTGTGTGTGTGTGTGTGTGTGTATACACAGAACAACCAGATTCACAAAAGCTCAGAGTACGAGATTACTTCAGACACCATAACAATTCTAGCCCTTATCTGAGCAAGATTTTCCTTTATATCCTACTGGATAAGTTGTCATCTATTTTGGTCAGAAGACCTCAGCCAAAGAGGAGCCTTTCTGAGGTAGCTAATTCCACTTTTGAATAGATACTCCAATTATTAGGAGGTATACATTCCTTATAGAATACTTCTCTATGACCAGTAAAGCTCTAGATGAGGCCCTTCCACAAAGAAGCAACTTAGATGTCACCTACTTGAACTCAGTAACTTGTTTTCCTCAGGCCCTGCTGTACTGAAAAATAAGTCCTGGGAGGGCCCAAACTAGCATTGTACTTATGATCCAATTATGATAATGATTAATCATCATTTTAATAGCTCTTTATAGCTACAAGGAGCTCTGTAGACATTTTTATGGACCATTTCTTGCCCATAGCCCAGGAGGAGCTCGATCATTCTTCTATCCTGTTGCATGGGCAGTGTCGTTAGGGTTTAGGGAGGGGAAGCACCCAACTTGAGGTCATGTAATGAGTCAGCCAGAATTAGAACTCACAGATAGGCTTGCCTGTTGTTGAGATCAGCTGGTCCAGGCTTAGGGTTTCTACAGTGCATTGTATGGCTGTATATGACTACATAATATGCACCACAACTATACAACAAGGTAAAAGAAAAGCAAGGAAGTTATGAACCTAATAGGAAGTTATGAACCTAAAGTTAAAGTGAAAAACAAATCAATTAGCGAATGATTGGAAAGAAAGGCAGCAGAGCATAGAAAGAACACTCGACATGGAATTAGCTTCCTCATCTGTAGGATGGGAGAGTTGGGTTTGATTAGATGGCCTCTAAGATCTCTTCTATCTCTAAATCTATGATCTTGTGGTCAGATGAGTTGGGTTGTAATGCAGTTCAACTCAGCACTTCATACCTATATAATCATACCCTTTTTTGGGTTCTTGGTTCTCTTTTCTGTAAACTGGGGGTGATATTAATACATAACACCTACCACATAGGTTTGTTGTAGGGAAAATGTTTTGTTGTCTTTAAAATATTCTCTATCTGAAGCATCATGGCACAGAAGAAAAAGTAGTGACTTTTTAGCCAGAGAACCTGGGTTCAAATCCTGCTTCTGAAGCTCCTGATCTGTGTGACAGTAGATAAGACACTAATCCTCTCTAGACGTTTCAGTTCCCCATCTTTAAAATGAGAGAGTTGGTTCAGATGTCCCTTCTAGCTCTAAACGTATGATCCTGAACATATGAGTTCTTGTTATTCTTGGGTGCCACCTGGCTAACAGTGATAGATTGCAGCACCACCTGCTGACTAGAAGAGCTTTTGCAATGTCCACTTATTTGTGGTTTGTATTTTCAGACAAAGTCTGGGGTGGTAATGGGAAGACAGGAAAGACAGATGAAAGGATATTAAAATCTACTGTTCAGAAGCCATTGCTTCTCCAGATAAATCTATTCTGATTTGGGGGCTCACTGTGAAGGGTGATGGTATTAATGGTGGTGGTTGCCATTGCATTGTTCTTTTGGTCTTCAGGGAAATCACAAGGTAGACTGGTGGTGATGGGAGACAATCATACTGTTCTTCCTTTTTTGTTCCTTCACCCTTCCTTCAGCTCCCCTGTCCTCCTCCCCTACCCCTTCATCCTGAGAAAAGTGAATATAGTGTCACATATAGGAAAAATGACCATCCATAAACATTTTTCAATGTACAGAAGGAAATGAAAAGGAAACACGGAAGGGGACAGAAATAGGGCAATTTTGTAACTATCATTAAATTACAGAGAGAGAGAGAGAGAGAGAGAGAGAGAGAGAGAGAGAGAGAGAGAGAGAAGAGAGAGAGAGAGAGAGTGTATGTGTGTGTGCGCTCACAGGGTGTCCCAAAAGCCTTAGTGTGGACCTTTGAGACATCCTGTATATATATTATGTATCTATGTACATACTTTTTGAAAAATGAATCACACCTAATAGAACACTGCAGTTTCTTAAATAACTAACATTTATATACCAGGCGCTGTGCTGAGTGCTTTACCATTATTATCTCCTGTGATCTTCACAACTCTGGGAGGTGGGTGCAATTATTATCGCCATTTTACGGTTGAGGAACCTGACCAAGGAGGATGCAATGCTCTTTCTTGCTCTTCTTTGTTGAAATGTTTGTGCTTGTGGATGGCTGTTACATAGTATATCCTCTGGGCTAACTCTGCACTCACACTGGATGAGCAGCTTAGGTTCCCAGAGGGCAATGATTCATCTTCAAGGTTTTAGGGGTGGCCCCAAGGAGCCAGTGTTTCTAATGCTGTTGCTCCTAAGTCTCCATATCATGTGTTTCCCAACATCCAACAATCAGTTAACATTAATTAGTTTTTACAGGTGGGAATTTACCAAGAAGGTATAGCAAGAGCAAGACTTACAAAGCAATCCCTCCCCATCCCCCACTCTTGGGGACAAATTGTCCCCTTGCACACCCATAGGATTCTTAAGGAGAGTAGGCTCAAAGTCAAATTACAAAGGTAGTCTGGCATACATGTAGGGGCCAAGTGAGGCAAAGGGTGCTTTCTTTTCTCTTTTTGCAGAATTGCCACCCGATATGCTTCTGCTTTTTCAGTCATAGCTAGCTCCTTGTGAGTCTTGGCTGATAGGACAATTCACTGCAAATAGATGACTCCTGGGTCTTTGACAGACTCACCTGGCTGCTGCTACCAGGGCTGATTGCCAAGGGGTTACCTGAAGGCAGTTTGCTGTCAGGAACCAGGACACAGTAGAACCCTCTCAAGGCAGTCTCCTAGGTCCCTGTTCATACCCTACTCATGCTTTCATGGGTATACATGCCTCACTATACTTTTCTCTCCCTTTGTACTACCTAGCTTAGATGGGGTCAAAAGCACCAATGCCTCCAGCGAGAAGAAAGTCCTGGTACAATAACAAATTCTTTTTTGTTACTTCGGGTGATTAGCTTGTGTTTCATATATGTGGGGGTCACTAAAAAAAACATATTGTACCCTGCAAAAATTTGATTAAGAAACAGGTTAAAGAATCAAACCTATTCTGAGTAACAACAGCTTACATATAGAATTTTGCATAGATCTCATCTGATCTTTACAACAACCCTGAGAGATATGTACTACAGGCATTCTTATCCCCATATTACAGATGAGAAAACTGAGGCTAACAGGTTAAATGACTTGCCCAAAGTCACACAGCTAATAAGTGTCTGAGGCAGGATTCAAAGCTGGGTCTCTTCAATATGAGTTCCATTTGGCATGGACTGTTTCTCACTGAAGTATCTTTTGGTAGCTTTATTAGACCCAATTTACATAAGGAGCAAAAAGTCCAATTTCCTGGCCTTTGAATAATCAAGAAGGAACTGGTTACATCCCAGTCTGAACTCCCAGCTTCCCTGGGGCTGTTTCCTGCCATGATGCTGGTCAATCAGTCAGTCAGTTAGCATTTATTCAAGCGCAAGGACAGTCCCTGCTCTCAGTGAGCTTACATTTTAATAGGGGAAGACAAGATCTCAAAGGAAGGGTCCCCTTCCCTTCCCTCTCCTCCACTCTGCCACTCCCCCCAGGAACCTGGGCATGGTTGGGTGACAATTGTCAGCAACTCATCTGAGTGTGTATGTGTGTGTGTGTGTGTGTGTGTGTGTGTGTGTGTGTGTGTGTGAAAATAATTAAGATGTAGAGGGAATGAGAAGGTTGGAGGGAAAGTCCCCTTAACAGGATTGCCTTCTCCTTTTCTATCTCTGGAGGACATGACAGGGGGCAACAGAATCCACCTGAGGGGGAGATGTTTTTTAGTTTGACATCATTGTAAAGGAAGAACCTACGTGTGATGCTCATTTCAAGCAGTAGCTGAGATATGTCTCCCCCACCTAGTCACCCAGGTGGACTCTGGCCTTAAAGAGAGAGAATAAAACCCAGAGGGCCCCTTGTGGGCCAGTGGGCTTCAGAGGAAAGAGAATGAGCTAGGGCCCATCCAGACCTGAGTTCGAGTCATGGTCCTGTTACTGATTAGTTGTAATGAATGACTTTGGAAAAGTAATTTCAATTTGGGGGGCCCCAGTTTTTCTCATTTGTACAATAATATCATCCCTACCTAGTGGGTAGGGCTGGACCTGTGGTTAGGGAGACCTGAGTTCAAATCTGACACTTAACCAGCTGCTGTGTGACACTAAGCAAATCACTTAACTTCTGCATACCTTAATTTCCTTATCTGTACAGTGGGGATAATAATAGCACCTCTTTCCCAAAGTTATTGTGAGGATAACATAAGATAATATTTGCAAAGTGCTTCACATACCTTAAAGTACCATAATAAATGCTAGCTATTATTATTATTAGCTATTATTACCTCCCTAGATTGCAATGAGGATAAAGTGAAATAATGTCTGGGAAAGTACTTAAAAAGCTGTCAGAGTCTGTCCAGAGGTAAGGACTTAGGGAAGTCACTGATGCTGTCTGGGCCTCAGTTTCCTCATCTGTTGAATGAGGAGGTTGTGCTAGGGGACCTCTGAGGTCCCTTCCAGTGTTGGGACTCAACTCTTTCCTAAAACTGGTCAGATTTAAATGGCCTTCCCTGATTTTTGCTGGATACAGCTCTCAGTAACTGGTTTTCCCTGCTTGCTTCTATTCTCAGCTCTGCAGTGTCCTT